AAAGTTTATTTGGAGACTCACGGTTTCAGAGGTCTCCATCTATAGAAGGCCTGCTCAATTCCTCAGAGCTCAAGGAGCGGTAGAAAATCATGGTAGGACAGTGGTGCAGGGAAGCAGCTCACATGATGATCAGGAAGCAGAAAGAAAGGCTCCACTCAACAGGTATAAAATATATACCCCAAAGGCTCACCCCCAGTGACCCACCTTCTCCAGGCACAACCTACCCACTTTCAGTTACCACTCAGTTAATCTGCACCAGGGGATTAATTCAGTGATTGGGTTAAGGCTCTCACAACCTAATCATTTCTCCTCTACACCTTCTTGCATTTTCGCACACAGGAGCTTTTAGGGGGATATCTTACATCCAAACCATAACATTCCACCCCTGACCCCAAAAGCCCATGACCATCTCACAATGCAAAATACATTTTGTCCATTTCCAAGAGTCCCCATAGTCTGACAGTTCCAAGATTGCCTAAAAGTTCAAGTCCACAGTCTCCTCTGAAACTCAGGACAAGCTTGCATCGTGAACTCCTGTATAAATCAAAAGCTACTTACAAGTGTCCAGTAGATACAGGTACAGAATAAACATTTCCACGCAGAAAAATAGGGGCATAGAAAGAAGGGATGGGACCAAAGCAAGACTGAAATCCAGCTGGGAAAACAAGTCCTGTAGTTTCGTGTTCGGCATCTGGGGCACATGGCATGGAGATGTTCTGCTCAAAGGACTTGCTCCTCCCCTGCAGCCATGTTGGTTGCAGCCCAAGTGACTTTTCTGTTGGCTTGTCTCTGGTCAATTTCTGCAGCTTTCCACGGATGACGTGCCATATTACTGGCATTTCCTAATCTTGGAGATCTCCACTGCAGCTTTGGCTTCCTCCCCACATCTCCATGCTTTGCCCTCTCAGGGGCCATCTGCAGGAATTCTGACACTGCTGTACTCTGTCTGGCCTCCCAGGCCTTCCTTTGAAATCTTGATGGACGTCTCTATAACCTCCTAACTCCAGCATCTTGCATTCCTGCAGAACCAGTTGACACCAAGGTCTGCTGCCATCTTGAGCAGGAACCAAGCCTCCAAGGACACTTGGTGTAGCAGCCTCTGAGTGTCCGGGTAGCTGAGCATGTTGAAAAATTTCCTTGTGCAAGAAGGGTACACCACTGGTCTCTTCCCAAGAGATGTTTTACTTTTACTTCCTTGAGTCTGAGATGGATATGATCTCGCCAATTCCTGAAATGCCCTTAAGCCATCTTCCCTGTGGTCTCCGGGCAAAGTCTTTAATGTTTCTTTAATGGCAGTAATGTCTTTAATAACTGTAACTTCCTTAGCACCAGTTTTGCTCCCTCCTTTCAAATACAAGTTTTTCAAATACTTCTGCTCCTGAATATCACAAAAAACTTGATTTAAAGCTGCAGCAATATCCATGCCACTGCCTGAATGCTATACTGCATAGATATTTCTTTTGCCAGATTAAGAAGTCCATCACTTTTAAAATCAGCCTCACCCAAAGTTTAAAAACATGGGCAAGATGCAGATAACTTCTCAGCCAGAACATAACAAGCCTTTAGTCCAATTGCTGATAGTGCCCTCCTTTTCCTTTAAAACCTCATGAGCCCTGTCTTCCTATTGGCATGCTGGTCTTCTGAGTTCCCACCACTATCAGCCATTAAGCTCTGCTTAAAACAATCTAAAGCATTTCCATCTTGCACTGTTACACATCTCAACATTCCTCCAACCAATTCCCAAAAAGCTTCTGAACCATTCGGTCAGTTTAGTTAAAGCAATGACCCCACTCTTGGTACCTATTTCT